ACCTTGTTTAGAAACTTTAGTATAACTAATGTACTTGTTGTTTTAATTTAATACGACTTATTAGAAACTTTAGTATAACTAATGTCCTTTGTTTTATCTAATATACCTTTTTGAAACTTTAGTATAACTAATGACTTGTGTTTTATTTAATAGACCTATTTGAAACTTTAGTATAACTAATGACCTGTGTTTTATTTAATAGACCTGTTTGAAACTTTAGTATAACTAATGACTTGTGTTTTATTTAATAGACTTATTTGAAACATTGGATGAATACTTAATGATCAAAATAATTTTGCATTATTCACTGTGATAAACAGACCTCCATTGGGGACCTTGAATCTCCGCGACTCCAAGGTACAGCTAATTTTACTTAAAAACGAAGGTTATGAAATTAACCGAAATCAATATGACCCAAACCTTTTACTTGTCATTAAACCACACATAAGGATATTGCAGGTTTACATCCTGCATACTGCAGTTAAAAATTGTAAATTAATTATAGTTACCGATTTTATTTTATTTATTTTTTGCTTTCTCCAACTAGTAAAGGTAGCAGAATGTTTTTATCTGAGCAGCACCAACTGAAAGTTTCCAATCTACGGTTAATCTCATACATTTTAAAAAGTATTTTCAGTGTAAGTCTTTGTGAATATAAATTGATTTGGACTAAAGAAAGAATATTTCAGAAAAAAAAGAGTAAAAATTTGAATGCAAAAATGAGTCGATTGTGTTCTACAAATGACATCATGTTTATATATATTATTTGTTTCAAAGTTACAGGTTTTAAGTTCCCACAAACAAACTCACATAAGCTTATTGGTTAACCTTAAAATTCCAAAAAGACAAAACTTCATTTCTAGCTTCTTGATATAATAGTGTTCAAAACTTGTACTAATCATAGTTATATAAATGAATAATAATCTGTATTTGGAAAGAACCAGTTCTACAAAACACGAGTAACTCACCTTTTCCGATAGCTACATAGAAAAGCTGTAACTAGTAGTAACAAAATGAAACCACTAACCACAGCTCCAGCAATAAGGGTAACTTGGCGTGTGGAAAGTTTCGCCTGGGAAACATCTGTAGAATTAACATTTAAAGTGATACATTATTTATTACTTAAAACATTTGATATAATCACTACAAAATACCAGCCATTACACGTTAGACTTTCAAAATACTAATTACAAGTAATTTTTAGTTTCTCTAAGCTGAGAAAAAACTATGATCATAACATTACGTATATCGCCTGTTTTAACCGCAGGAAATAAAATGAATGTAGATCGGGTATTGAATTGTTGTGTTAATGTACATTTAGCTAAGCAAGTCCAACGTGTTCATTAACTTACTGAGTAGAATTAGAAAGTCACATTTGTAGCTATTTTGTATAATTTGTGTCTTTGGGTTATGATGTTACTGGACTTCTCTGGATATTAAAGGTTGATTAACTTAAATCATATAAAAACTTTTGTAGAAAATTGTCACGCTTTATAAATAAAGAATCTTGTTTATAGACTAAGTAGATAATGATCTGGTTAATAATGATAGATAGTGAACTAATTAATTATAGCAGATATATGGTGACCTGGCTAATTACAACAGATATATGGTGACCTGGCTAATTACAACAGATATATAGTAACCTTGTCAACCATATCAGCTATATACTGACCTGATTAATTATAGCACATATATAGCGCCCAAGTTAATTATAGTAGATATATATATATATATATATAGCGACCTGGATACTTATGGTACATATGGACTGATTAATTATTATTAATAATTATTTGATCTATTATAGCATATTATAACTGACTTGATGTGGTAAATATATGTAAGCAGCTTAAATATTCTACCAAGCCAAATATATTGAGTTTTGAATCGATATTCCCATAGCATTCCATAAACCTTTTTTTTTACATATTGCATTCGTTCTGCTGTTTCACAAAATTCCGATGAAGCGAATAATAAATATACAAATGTTTATATAAAATAGAATTAAAACACAAAGACAATTATACGCTTCACAAACACTTCATTTATTCACGACCACGGTTTCACCAGTAAATGCATCACCAGGTAGTTTACTTAAAAGTCTCCTGTCCCCCAGTGGGTCAGCGGTAAGGTTACATACTTACAATGCTAAAATCCATGGTTCGATTTTCTGCGGTGAACAGAATGCATATAGATCATTGTTTAGCTATGCACCAAGAAAACAATAAAGGTCCCCTCGCTATGATACATAATTGTCAATGTTCACTGTAAATTTAAAGTTATTTCAATGATAAACTTTTAGAGCAGTGATTGAAGTGACTAACACGTATGAGTTTTTTTTCTGGCTCTTCCTTTTAAACTTTTGTCGTTTTAGGCACGTTGTTTAACGTGGTAATTTTAAATGCAAACGTTTGAATACTTGCTATAAAACATACACGCAAATACCACATTCAACAGCTGTAATTTGACTGCCCCTGGAAACTGAAAGAAGCAGTGTTAGCACCAGCGTACACTTATGTAACTTGAGAAACAAATATATATTTTGAAAGAACGACAAAAATCGTCTTAAATTGAAAAGTTTTGACTTTAAGAACATTGTTTGAGAATGTCATTTCGATTTTTCATCGGTTGAAATGTAAAATTACGCAACTGACATGCGAATAATTCATTTTTACATTGTTTAGTTGAGATAACATTCCTTACAAATATCAGATTAATTTTCACATGTATATACATATCTGTCACTGATCGTTTTTGGACTTTAGTGCTAATATATATATATATACACACACATGTGTTTTAAATATATTCCTTCCCGAGTGTAATTTCTGTTACAAGGCAATAGAAGAGAGAGCCTAAGGGACTTGTTAAAACTACACTTATCAGTTTAATAAAACAGTTATATTTTACACTTCTGCTGTGTTTTTACTGGAAACATATATTACTGTTTTGAATTACAAAAGGCGTTTTAACAGTCTCTTGCAAGTGTATTCAGAGTACACCACAATGATCAGTTGTTAAATTGCTTCAACTTAATGGTTTTAGTTTATTTACTTATTGCATGTTATATCGCTCTTTCTGTAACTGATCTTATGCACTGAACAGAAGGTGTACTAGCATCAACTATATACTTAGTTGAACCTGTACGCTGCAAGCATCGAACTTTGACTATTGCCTATACAGATTTCAATTTAAGAACTCTTCCATTAACGTGTCGTCGTTTAGTGTGTTTGCTATTGCAGATAAAACTTTCACGATATTAAAAGTACAACGACTACAATTTAGCTACAAAGTCGGTTTTCTAGGAATTTTATCCCTGATTTCTTTCCATATAGATGTTTCTCGGTTTTAGCGATTCTTAAAGATATAGATTATTTGTACCTCCAAATATTTACAATACCGGTGTCGAACTGTTATTACACTAAGAACTGAAAGTACTCTATCTTAAGCAAATATGCATTTAAGAACATGGTTGTAGTATTTGAATCGAAATCGTAATCAGTGTTATAGTTCATGTCGGACCATTTGATTATGATAAAAAACCAAGTTGTCACCTTGTCATAAATTACAGTAGGTTCTGACATATATCACCAAAGAACTGTTATGGTCTTTACGTGTAAAATAATACACCAGTATTCATTTTCTGTATATTTTTTAGCTATCTAAAATGGTACACCAGTATTATTTTCTGTATATTTTAGAGCTATCTAAAGTGGTATACCAGTATTATTTTCTGTATATTTTACAGCTATCTAAAATAGTACACTAGTATTATTTCTGTATATTTTACAGCTATCTAAAATGGTACACCAGTATTATTTCTGCATATTTTACAGCTATCTAAGTGGTACACCAGTATTATTTCTGTATATTTTACAGCTATCTAAAATTGTACACCAATATTATTTTCTGTATATTTTACAGCTATCTAAAGTGGTACACTAGTATTATTTTCTGTATATTTTACAGCTATCTAAAGTGGT